TGGTCACTTCCTGTCAGCACCTCTGGTCACTTCCTGTCAGCACCTGTGGTCACTTCCTGTCAGCACCTGTGGTCACTTCCTGTCAGCACCTGTGTGTCCAATCAGACTCAAAGCTGATCGTTTGCTCTTACTCACACTGTTCCTCTCTTGTGTTGTTCTTCCTCTCTGATGTACGTCGCTTTGGATTAAAGAGTCTGCTCAGTGAATTGTAAACAGGTCAGAGTATCGTCCAATCAGCTGGCCCGGAGTCTTCTGGGACAGATTGACTTTAAAGTGTTTTGATAATTCTTTACAGATGTAGATCTTTATATTTAAACTAATGATGTGATGACATGAACTGTGTGTAACAAATACTTAAAGTTTCTGTTTGACTCTCTGAACCTTTAGATGTGATCAAGTTAACTAAAGAGAGAAACAGCTGATTGAACCTGTGAGCTAACAACCTGTGAGCTAACAACCTGTGAGCTAACAACCTGTGAGCTAACAACCTGTGAGCTAACAACCTGTGAGCTAACAACCTGTGAGCTAACAACCTGTGAGCTAACAACCTGTGAGCTAACAACCTGTGAGCTTAACAACCTGTGAGCTAACAACCTGTGAGCTAACAACCTGTGAGCTAACAACCTGTGAGCTAACAACCTGTGAGCTAACAACCTGTGAGCTAACAACCTGTGAGCTAACAACCTGTGAGCTAACAACCTGTGAGCTAACAACCTGTGAGCTAACAACCTGTGAGCTAACAACCTGTGAGCTAACAACCTGTGAGCTAACAACCTGTGAGCTAACAACCTGTGAGCTAACAACCTGTGAGCTAACAACCTGTGAGCTAACAACCTGTGAGCTAACAACCTGTTAGCTAACAACCTGTGAGCTAACAACCTGTGAGCTAACAACCTGTGAGCTAACAGGTTGTTAGCTCCTTCTGCTACATTAACATTCAATACTTTTAATAACTCTGCGGCTTTAATGTGACAACAACATAAAGAAGGGAATCACAAACATTTAACTCCACCTGATGCTAAAGCTAACGTTAGCATAAAGCCTCACTTCAGCTGGCTGAAGCTAACAGCGGCTAATGAGCTAGTTAGCATCGGGAGCTAGCCTCTCCTGCTAAATCCCGCGCAAACAAAGCGGTTTAATCCGCCGCAGTTCATGTTCGCTTTGATGAGAAGTGTAACTAAGCATCAACACGGTTTATTCAAAGGTTTTACCTGAAGCTGCGCTGCTTTAACACACACAATTAGCTCGTCAGCTAACGAAACAACACAATGATCCCGCCGACAGTCCGAGATCTCCGGGACAAAACGAGACTTCAGGGCTGCGTCACTTCCGCTCTGGTTTTGTACTTTAAAAGTACTTTTGTACTTTGTACTTTTTGTGGAGGCGACACCTGGCGGCCGGGAGGGGAATAACAGGGACAGATTGTTTTATATTACACTTTTTACTTTATTTCAAACGAGAAAGGAAAAAAAAAACATATTTATAACAGAATGATGAAAAGAATAAAAAAAGATATTTATAACAGAATGATGAAAAGAATAAAAAAAGATATTTATAACAGAATGATGAAAAGAATAAAAAAAGATATTTATAACAGAATGATGAAAAGAATAAAAAAAGATATTTATAACAGAATGATGAAAAGAATTAAAAAAACAGATATTTATAACAGAATGATGAAAAGAATAAAAAAAACATATTTATAACAGAATGATGAAAAGAATAAAAAAATATATATTTATAACAGAATGATGAAAAGAATAAAAAAAACATATTTATAACAGAATGATGAAAAGAATAAAAAAATATATATTTATAACAGAATGATGAAAAGAATAAAAAAATATATATTTATAACAGAATGATGAAAAGAATAAAAAAAACATATTTATAACAGAATGATGAAAAGAATAAAAAAATATATTTATATCAGAATGATGAAAAGAATAAAAAATATATTTATAACAGAATGATGAAAAGAATAAAAAATATATTTATAACAGAATGATGAAAAGAATAAAAAAAGATATTTATAACAGAATGATGAAAAGAATAAAAACATATATTTATAACAGAATGATGAAAAGAATAAAAAAACAGATATTTATAACAGAATGATGAAAAGAATAAAAAAATATATTTATAACAGAATGATGAAAAGAATAAAAAAAAACATATATTTATAACAGAATGATTAAAAGAATAAAAAAAAACATATATTTATAACAGAATGATTAAAAGAATAAAAAAAAACATATATTTATAACAGAATGATGAAAAGAATAAAAAAGATATTTATAACAGAATGATGAAAAGAATAAAAAAAACAGATATTTATAACAGAATGATTAAAAGAATAAAAAAACCAGATATTTATAACAGAATGATGAAAAGAATAAAAAACAGATATTTATAACAGAATGATGAAAAGAATAAAAAACAGATATTTATAACAGAATGATGAAAAGAATAAAAAATATATTTATAACAGAATGATGAAAAGAATAAAAAACAGATATTTATAACAGAATGATGAAAAGAATAAAAAAGATATTTATAACAGAATGATGAAAAGAATAAAAAATATATTTATAACAGAATGATGAAAGAATAAAAAATATATTTATAACAGAATGATGAAAAGAATAAAAAAGATATTTATAACAGAATGATGAAAAGAATAAAAAAATATATTTATAACAGAATGATGAAAAGAATAAAAAATATATTTATAACAGAATGATGAAAAGAATAAAAAAGATATTTATAACAGAATGATGAAAAGAATAAAAAACAGATATTTATAACAGAATGATGAAAAGAATAAAAAAATATATTTATAACAGAATGATGAAAAGAATAAAAAAATATATTTATAACAGAATGATGAAAAGAATAAAAAAATATATTTATAACAGAATGATGAAAAGAATAAAAAAATATATTTATAACAGAATGATGAAAAGAATAAAAACAGATATTTATAACAGAATGATGAAAAGAATAAAAAAATATATTTATAACAGAATGATGAAAAGAATAAAAACATATATTTATAACAGAATGATGAAAAGAATAAAAAAAACAGATATTTATAACAGAATGATGAAAAGAATAAAAAAAACATATTTATAACAGAATGATGAAAAGAATAAAAAATATTTATAACAGAATGATGAAAAGAATAAAAAACATATATTTATAACAGAATGATTAAAAGAATAAAAAACAGATATTTATAACAGAATGATGAAAAGAATAAAAAACAGATATTTATAACAGAATGGTGAAAAGAATAAAAAACAGATATTTATAACAGAATGATGAAAAGAATAAAAAAAAACAGATATTTATAACAGAATGATTAAAAGAATAAAAAAAAACAGATATTTATAACAGAATGATGAAAAGAATAAAAAACAGATATTTATAACAGAATGGTGAAAAGAATAAAAAACAGATATTTATAACAGAATGATGAAAAGAATAAAAAACAGATATTTATAACAGAATGATGAAAAGAATAAAAAACAGATATTTATAACAGAATGATTAAAAGAATAAAAAACAGATATTTATAACAGAATGATGAAAAGAATAAAATAAATAAATTCAAAAAGGTCTAAAAAACAAACAATGATTGAAACATAGTGGCCCCACAAAGCCCCCCCCCACGCCCTATGGGCGGACTAATGTGGACCAGCAGAGTTTTAAATTTGATGCGAGCAGTAACTGGGAGCCAGTGTAAGGAGATGAACAGAGGAGTGACATGAAAACCTCAGGGAGTTTTCATTTCTATTTCCTCTGACCCACGATGATTGGTCGACAGTGTTTTATGACCTCTCAGGTAACCTGCTGATGAGTCAGAGCAGGGGACTAAAGAGCGGATTCCTCTCAGACTCTCAGACATCAGCAGTGTTTGTCGGTTTTCACTCTCGCCGGTTGAACTTTCATGACATTTGTTTCACCCTGTCTTTAGATAAATCTGAACTTTTCTACCGGCCTGTTTTTATCAGCAGAACCTGAACATGAAATGATTTTCACTCTTTTAAAACCACGATGACACGATAAGTCTTATTGAATACAGATGTTTCTCATAGCAAGAAGCACCTTTTGACTTGAAACCGCCTCATTACCCTGATAGTTTACAGCCTCAATCAAGACCTCTAACAGGTTCATGATGATCCAGCTCACTATCAGGAGCACAATGTAAAGTTAGAAGGAGGACATACTGGCTGCTGCATTGTTGTCAGAGAAGCCAGCACTTCAACATGTTTCCTTAATGATCAGAGAGTAAGATACCTTTATCATCTCACTCTCTACACAGCTCTCTGATTGGATCTTTAAAAACAATCAAACACTTAAGTTTACTAAGCTGTAGTTTGATTTCAGATTATTTTTCTTTAAGCCGTGAAGTCTGTAAAAGTGTATTTTTACCTTTTCATAATTTTAATAGCCAGATTTGATTATTAATAGAGTTTTGGAGAGGGATCCTAAAATACCGCGAGAACACGACGTGTGTACGAGATCTAGTCGGCTAGCTGTGTTTGGGTTTACGGTCTTCTGGTTGGTTCTGAATCTGGAGTGAAAATGCACCAAGTCGAGGTTTTCCAAGCGACCATGAAGCTCAAAGAAGAAGAAGAAGAGTCCAGAGTGAGTGGAGGAGCGGACGGAGGAGAGAAGGAGGAGAAGGAGGAGAAGGAGGAGCAGGAGGAGCACAGAGGACAGACAGCCGGCTCCAGCTCCGATAGCCCGGATGTTCAGGTCAGTGTTTCTCGGCTTCTCCCCCCTTCATTCTGTTCATACACATCCCACCCTGAACACGTTTCATCCACTGAATATCCCGAATAGAACTCCGGAGATAAAAACAAAACCCTCCACACCAGAAAACCGCGGGAGCAGGCCTCAGCAGGGGGGTTTCCTGACTCCCGGTGACCGGCTCAGAGGCGCTGCGGGCCGGGGAGGCGCCGAGCGGAGAGCCCGGTGTTTCCTTTAGGGGTTTAGAAGACCTTCACAGTGAGGATTGTCCCTGCAGGACTTCAGGGCCCCCTGAACAGAACCCCCCCCCCCGTGACACACATGAGCCCCTTAATGCTCCACATTACTGCATCATTGTGGATAAATTAGGGCTTCACGATTTTCTACCCACGATCATGAACACGTAATAATCGAGATCAAGCGATTTCTGTGCTGTCGGCCGTATCGCACCGTTTGTGATAAACAATTTAAAGTGTTTTTTTTACCAAGCAGAAACCTCCAGTGTTTAAAAATGAAGTGTTAAAATCCTGCAGTTCCTGGAGTGTCCACTAGAGGCTGGCTGCAGAAGCACAGGAAGTCACATACACACCCATTCTAAAAAGCCTGTTTTTACAGCAGAGATGAACATGTTTACAGCCTGGTTCAAAAAACCAAATAGGTGTGATTAGCTCATGTCTGGATGGACACACACTGTACGGGGGGTGAATGTTTTGATGACTCATCAGTTTTGATTTGATGAAGGATAAGAGTTATTCACAATAAGGCGTGTAGCTGACCTGATTGACAGGTGGGCGCGGTGTAACGGTTTGTCAGGAGGTTTAAAACCCGCCTCAGCTGAAGAAGAACCAGACTCACGTTGAGCAGACAGAAACATTTTTTACTACATCGTTTCAAACAATCAGGATACAGATCTGGTAACCATGACAACCCCTTATCTGCAGCATTATTAAATAGAACAGCAGCACCTGGTGTTAGCAGGGAAGGCTAAAGGTCGTAGCATAGATCAAAGACTCATTTTGGGCCAGCTGTGGCTCAGTGGTAGAGTCGGTCGTCTCTCAACTGGAAGGTTTGGGATTCGATCCCCATCTCCTTCAGCCCTCATGTCCGATGTGTCCTCGAGTGAGACACTTGCTCCTGCTGCTTCGTTGGCGGTGTATGAATATATTTCAGATACCCCCATGACATTCTAACGATCCACGATTGTAACTGAATAATCATTTATACTTTATTGATCCCTTTGGGCGCACTCACAGAATTGGGACAGTACTTACGCTGAAGAGTCTGTCTCGTTAATGGTTAGGACATTCCTTCAAATGTAGCGCCATCGAAAGTCAGGAAGACTTGTGTTCCATCATGGTCACATCTGTCTAATAACGCTGCTCCACTTCCTCATCGTTAGCCAATCGTATCGCTGTTGTCTTTTTAAATACAGAATTCTCTTCCAACATTTAATTTATGCCCTTGTTACGTCCGACCCTCCACCTCCTTGGATCACAGTATCAGCCATCTTATATATATATATATATAGAGAGAGAGAGAGAGGAACTTATTAATCCCTTGGGAAGCTTCCCTCAGGAAGTTCAGATTCCAGCAGCAGGTAACACCAAAGGATAGAACAGCACACAGATACAAAACACTCTTCTCATCAACCCCCAGCCTTCATAGTTCAATCAGCTTCTTCATCCCGTCAGTTTCATACAACACCTTCAGCTAACACCTCCACCTTCTGTCGGGACTACATGTGGGGGGGTGAAGGTCAGGTCAGACATCTTTGATCACCACATCCCTGTAGAGTTCAAGCGCCAAAGCTTCTCTGACAAACATTCAATATCACATATTTCATTTGTTTTCTCGTCTCTCCTGATCGACATGGCTTTGGGTGCTCGGCTCTACTCGCTCCCTGGTGACGATAGTTTTGCTCTTTCAGTAACTATACTTTTTTTAAAAACAGGGTGGTGTTGTGAGTGCCATGTCCAACCCCACCCTGCCTGGTGTGCTAGATTTTTGTGTTTGGCTCCTGACCCAAGACCAATCTGGTAAGGTTGACCATACTAGGAGGGCCAAAGGACACTCTCCCTAAATGTTTCCTTTGATTGCATTTGACTGGATATTGGGCTTTTTGTTTGTGTGTAAAGGGAGAGTTTGAGTGTCCTGGAAGGTGCCCTTTTTTATTTTGCAAACAGCAAAGTTTAACTGTACCTTTTTAATGGAAAGTACAGCCTTCTGTGTGGGTCAGGATCCAGTATGACATCTCACTAACACTTTCTTCCTGTGTCGGTCTGTTTCTACAGGACTGCAAAGAAGAAAAGGACCTCGACAGTCCCGACTCTCCGGACTGCGGCATCTCAGCCCTGACGTCAGCATTATTAAAGGATCACACGGCATACACTGGGATAAGCTGTGATGAGTGTGGGAAAACTTTCAAAAGACCGGGTGCCCTAAAAGTCCATCAGCGCATCCACACAGGAGAGAAACCGTACGGCTGTGACCAATGCGATGCTAAATTTTCTCAATTGGGAAACCTAAAGGGACACCAGCTCATTCACACCGGAGAGAAACGGTTCACGTGTGATAAATGTGGGAAAAATTTTGATTCATCGAGTCATTTGAAGGTTCATCAGCGTATTCACACTGGAGAGAAACCGTACAGCTGTGACCAGTGTGACGCTAAATTCACTCAATTAGGACACTTACGGGGACACCAGCGCATTCACACTGGAGAGAAACCATTCAGCTGTGATACTTGCGAGAAAGCCTTTCACACATCGAGTGCCCTAAAAGCCCATCAGCGCACTCACAGTGGAGAGAAACCATACACCTGTGATGAATGTAAGAAAACTTTTTACACACCAAGTGCCCTAAAAGCCCATCAGCTCATTCACACTGGAGAGAAACCGTACAGTTGTGACCAATGTGGGAAAGGTTTTAGATCGGCAAAGTGCCTGAAAGTCCATCAACATGTTCACACGGGTGTGAAACCGTACAGCTGTGACCAGTGCAAGGAGGGGTTCACTCGATTACCTAGCTTAAAAGCACACCAGCGTATTCACTCTGGAGAGAAACCATTCAAGTGTGACGAGTGTGGGAAATTATATGCTACAGCACGCAAACTGACGGTTCATCAGCGCGTTCACTCTAAGGAGGAATACTATCGGTGTGACGAGTGTGGGAAACTGTACATGACATCAGACGAACTTAGTGCTCATCAGCGCACTCACACCGGAGGGAAAATATTGAACTGTGACCAATGTGGGAAGTTGTTTGACAAACCAAGTGCCCTGAAAGTCCATCAGCTCGTTCACACCGGAGAGAAACAGTACATTTGTGATCAGTGTGGGAAAGGTTTTACGAAATTAGGTCTCCTTAACGTCCACCAGCGTGTTCACACTGGGGAGAAACCATACAGCTGTGACTTCTGTGGGAAAGCTTTCAGTTCATCGTGTAGACGTAGAGATCACATGCACATTCACACTGGAGAGAGACCGTACCGCTGCGACAAATGTGGGAAAGCCTTTGCCGGCCGAACCACGCTACACAGGCATCGGCTTACTCACACCGGAGAGAAACCGTTCCGCTGTGTTCAATGTAGGAAATCTTTCACCAAAAAATCCAGTTTGAAACTTCACCGACGCATTCACACGGGAGAGAAACCCTTCAGCTGTGACTTTTGTGAGAAATCCTTCAGCGCGCGCGGAAATCTGGAAATCCACAGACGTCTGCACACTGGAGAGAACCCGTTTAGCTGTGACTTTTGCGAGAAATCCTTCAGAGCGCGCGGGAATCTACAAATCCACAGACGCATTCACACCGGAGAGAAACCTTACAGCTGTGACAAATGCGAAGCAGCGTTTACTCAGTCGGGTAGCTTAAAGATACACCAGCGTGTTCACACCTGAGCGAGGTCACACTGACCAGCTGAGTGAATTTTCAGATCACAAACACCCTCGCACAGTATTGTAAACATTATTCTAAGTTGAGCTTCATGCCCTGACTGTTTGTATATATATTAATGTCATGCTATTGTAATCAGCTCTTAAGTTTTCTTTCCTGTATCTACATTTCTGCTGAAATTAAATCCACAGTGAGCGACGAGGGGCAGCAGGGACTCTTTGCTTGTGCTGTCTCTGTGATGGAAATAAAAATTTATATCAAATGACTGATTTTTGTCTCTTTACCTCTGAGGATAGATTTCTACAGTAAACAGTTTATTTTTTTACCCTAAAAATTAAACCTACAGTTTCACATGTATGTGTCTCTAGTCTGTCTACAAACCCCCCCAATGATGAGAAAAGTTCATCCTCTCTGTCTTCTGCCTGCTCCACTTTTCAGAAAATGTGTGCTCAAACAGGCCGTTTGGAGATTTTCCCTTCATGACATCACAAAGGGCAGTAGCCCCTCCCCCAGGTGGGTGACACTCCCACAGCTAGGTGTTTGTTCTGACCTCTGAGTCTGCCTTCTCACCGTAAACAATAGGACATGGAGCGAGAAAGACCGAGTACAACCGAGCCCGTCCAGAGAGGGGGCGTGGTCAGACACAGCTCATTTACATATTTAAAGGTACAGACACAGAAACAGCCTGTTCTGAGCAGGGCTGAAATAGTCCGGAAACACTTGAAGCAGCTCTGATTCGTTCAACAGACACTCATGAAGAAGTATACACAAATGATTCCACTAGTGTTACATCTTTATTCACACATATACATGAAATTAATGACTTCTTAACTCTTCACAGTTTAAAACAAATTGATCATTACAAACTGTTCATGAGCTCAGGGAGAAGAAAAGAAGGACTGAAGAGGTCTGAATGTCCGGGTTAGTGTTTGTGATGTAGAGAGAGAGAGCAGACTGAGTCAGTCCATGTTCAGGATCTGCTGAGAGATCAGCGGGAGGTCTTCTGATTGGTTTGTTGAGTGGAGGAGGCGGGGCCAGACACCTGAGGTAAAGAGAAAGGAAGTTCAGGATCGACGTGAGTCGCTTTCACACATGCAGAGATCTTCCTGATCTGACATGACCCTCACAGCGTGACATTTCCCCTGTGGGACGGGACGAGGGTCTCACAATCTGAACTAAAGAGTGGAGAAGAACAGGAAGTTGGAGGTTTCCTGCTTGTCTCCCCACCTGTGATGAGACCCCTCCTCCTCTTTGCTTTGACTTGAATCACCTGTTTGTGTTTGCTCACCTGTCCTCCTCCTCGCCCCCGTCCTTGTCCAGAGAAGACGGTGGTCAGTCCTTTGTGCGCGGGGACATGTCGGAGGGAACGAGTCCTCGAGTGCTTCAGCTCTGACAGGAGCTCGGGGCTGGACAGAGACAGAGACAGACGAGCTGCACACAAACAGACAAATACAGACAAGTTAATGCTCAAGTATTCTATACTGAAGGTGTCTTCAACAAACCGCTGTGAGGGGAATTAAACAGATCACACAGCAAGCTAACGAGTGTTCTACAAGCAGCGGGGTTACGTGACTGAGCGTTCGACCTGTAAGGATGAAAATATGTCGCTGTATGTCAGAAGAACGTGAGGAAGCCAATTTTTAATCACGTTTGAAATCCCATTATTTCACATTAAAAAAAAAAAAGTTATGCTTTTATTTTGAAATGCTGTACTGTCTCTTTAGCTGAGAGTACTTTACTTGCTGTGTGCTTTTATTTTGAAATAAAGTAAGGCCCTTCCTGTAGAGTGAAGGTTAGGACATGAAGTTGAGCACAGAAACAGGAAGTGGTTAGGGATCCCAAAGTGAGGTCAAAAAGCTCAAAGGAACAGTATCAAAGGTCAACGTGTGATGTCATAAGGTCAGTGTGTGATGTCATAAGGTCAGTGTGTGATGTCATAAGGTCAGTGTGTGATGTCATGAGGTCAATGTGTGATGTCATCAGGTCAGTGTGTGATGTCATCAGGTCAGTGTGTGATGTCATAAGGTCAGTGTGTGATGTCATCAGGTCAGTGTGTGATGTCATAAGGTCAGTGTGTGATGTCATCAGGTCAGTGTGTGATGTCATCAGGTCAGTGTGTGATGTCATAAGGTCAGTGTGTGATGTCATCAGGTCAGTGTGTGATGTCATCAGGTCAGTGTGTGATGTCATCAGGTCAGTGTGTGATGTCATCAGGTCAGTGTGTGATGTCATCAGGTCAGTGTCAGTGTGATGTCATCAGGTGGATATTACTGTGTGAGAGTTTGTTAAAGTGAAATGAGACATTCAGAGATGCAGCAGTGAGACTACAGGGAGACACTGAGGACGAGTATCTACGGAGAGCCTGAAGGGACAAACAGGAGATTAATGTGATGAACTGTTAATGCTGACAGGGCTAAAATAAACACGTGGAGGACATGATGCGATGTTAATCTGACTCTCAATAAATAAAAAAGACCCCGACATCGACCCAAACACTCCTCAACACCTGCTCGGGTTATTCTAACGTTTCATGACGTCACCTCGTCTGTTGTCGAAGCAGGGAGAGGAGGACGAGGAGGACGAGGAGCTGCCGGGGGAGGAGGTGGGTGCAGGGCTGAAGGGGGACGGCAGAGGTGAGTAGGGGGTGACGGGGGAGGGGGAGTGTGTTTCATTGGATTCACAGACGTCCCTGTTGAACTGGAATCTGCTCTGACACTCTGAAGGAAAGAGAGAAAGAGAGAGGGAACATGTTTGTTTCTGTTTCTCTTCACCGACGTGTTCATGGCGTCTCCCAACCAGCTTAAAGAGACGGATGAAAAAAAAGATCACGGGACCAAACATCACCTCGCAGAAACTCGGCCTGTAGTTCTGGACTCTGCAGAGACAGATGAGGACGAAGAGGAGACGAAGAAGAGGAGAGGAGCTGATTCCCTGAGGTAGATGATGATGATGATGATGAAGATGAAGACAGAGCTGGTGATGAGGAGGTCATGATGTTTGTCTGCAGTGGGCGGAGCTTAAAGGAGCTTAAATCTGTTCGAAGCTGCAGTCAGAGAACTCAAAGATCCTGACGACACCTGAATGCATCAAAAGGGAAAACAGATTTAAACTCTTGATGATCTGAAATGTTCCTTTTCCTCTGCAGTCAATCTGGATTTTTTATAGCTAATCTGTCTTTTAAATGATTTACATTTTTAATTGAGGTTATTCCCTAAATTTCAATTGTTAATCGCAATTAAACATGTTTTTAATCGTATGTTTGAAATTCCATTATTTTGCTTTTAAAGGAGCAGTATGTAACTCTGACATCTGGTGTTTAAAATGGGTACTGCAGTCTAAATTCTAAACATCATAGAGAGCTGTCTCCCCCCCCTCCTCTCTAGAGTGGATGCTCACTCAGGTCACCATGTGGTGGACTCTGAAGCTTCAGTGTTTATCCAGCTCTGCATGGGTCTGTAAACCTTTCTGTGTTCTAACCTCTCTCCATTTTTCAAAAGCATCTCCAATATTGATCCTAGTTTGAGCACGTTTCTGCTCGTGGAGCTTATTAGAAACATGCAGAGGCTTTTTAGGTCGGGTACAATCACTTCTATCTGAACCACTTCTCTTGACCGCTTCCATCGCTGCAACACCTGTTGACCTGTTAACTGCTCTCATATCTGACAAACTGAGGGGCGTCCAAAACGGCCGTGTGGGGGCGTGTCTTAAAAGCGTCTACCTTCTCTGGTCCAAACAAATCCAGAGCATTCAGGAGCAGAATCTAAAGTTAGCAGAGATGGAGTTGTTCGTCTCTCAACATAAGGTCAGGGGTTCGATCCCCAGCTCCTTGAATCACTTGTTATTCCTTCTTGCTCCAATGCAAATGACATCTATAAAGTCAATCGATGGTCCCAGAACAATAAATCAAGCACACGCTCAGAGGTAAAGAAGAACAAACATGCTAAGTGGCTAACCGTTCACATGTTTACCACACACACATCGCCTGAGCGGCTGTCTGTCTTGTTGGAATTGAAACAGAGAATCAGGAAACATCGCAGCAAACATCTTCCTACAATTCTACAATTCACTTATCAGACTCTTTTATCCAAAGCGACGTACATCAGAGAGTAAGAACAACACAAGCAAGGATCTAGAAAAAAGGGAACAATGTGAGTAAGAGCAAACGATCAGCTTTGAGTCTGATTGGACACACAGGTGCTGACAGGAAGTGACCAGAGGCAAAGCACAACATTGAGGGCAGTTCTTGAGAGCTCTAATCAGTATAGAAACCATCTTATAAGTCGTCGTTATCAAACAAAAACCATCGTCATTACCATCATCATCAATAATATGGAGACCATCATCGTTAAGTTAGTAGGTATTCATGAAAGAGCTGGGTCTTTAGCTTTTTCTTAAAGGTGCAGAGGGACTCTGCAGATCTAATGGAGTTTGGAAGTTTGGAAGTTCATTCCACCACCGGGGGGCGACAGAGGAGAAGAGTCTAGTCAGCATCTGCCACAGCGCTGGACATCAGTCAGCTGGGGGAAGCTCGAGCTCATGTTAACTTGCAGCAATAAAAGAATCAGAATTGCTCTATTGGTCGGGTATGCTAACACACACAGAAGGAACTTGACTTTGGTGAACTTTGCTCTCTTTGTACAGAAAGTAAAACATCAAATATCAACAAAAAACACAAAAAGGCAGCAGGGCTCGAAACAACACAAAGCAACCTACAAGTTAACGATGAGACAAAGTGTTGTTTGAGATGTAGGCAGGTGTGAATTCTTTCTGACTGGTTTTGATGGTTTTGGCAGGAAGCCGTCTGCCCACCTTCAGCCTTGAGATCAGTCAGAATATTAACTACACGTCTTTGCTTCCCTCTGTTTTTATGAATGTGTCTCTCTGAGTGTGAACCAGAACAGGAAACTGCTCTGTGAAGCCGAGGGGGCCGAGGCGGGGTCCGGATCACTGGACTCACCTGAGTGCAGGTTGTTCCTGTTGTTCCTCAGTCCGCCCGTGTGTTCGATCCCCTCAGAGGACACATCACCTGTTCACCGCTTCCCCCGTCACTGTGTGTCCCAGTTTGTCTCGCAGACCACTTAGAAGCTCCTGAAACCACGACGACGACGACCAAGATGACCTGCTGCATGGACAAAGTCTGCCTCGCTTTACCGCACACACACACACACACACTCTCTCTCTCTCTCTCTGTCTTTTGTCCTCGTCTCATGTGTGTGTGTTTGCCTTAGGAGAAACTTCATGCAAAACACACACAACTCAAAAGTCCACATTAATTATTGACATGTTTTTAATGACACTGTCGCCATGGATACCAGGTAAAGAGAGAGAGTCAGCTGGACTTTACACACACACACACACACACACACACACACACACACCTTTATTACCTCACACCTGATTTTCTGTAAATGAATTTCCTGGACTTCATCAAAAACATGATTTTTGAGAACTTACAGTAAAACTCACATATTTTTTACCTGAACAGTTTGACTCCTCGGGATTGTTGGTGGGGAGGGACTCCTGCTATGAACCCCCCCCATCTTAACAATGAGTAAGATCTTTAACCTGCTCTTGATTGATTTGATTAAATGTTTTTATTTTTATTTCTGATGAATTAAAACTGAAAGAAAAACGCAATTTTAAACATCAGTTGTCCTTTAATTAAAAAATAATCTACAATCAAACATCAATTATTCACAAACAAACATGACTGACACGTCTGTGCGGAAGAGGACTACAGAAACAGAAGCTCATGTTAGCTTAGCTTAGCATTCTCACAGTTATATTAGCACGTTAGCATATAGCATGGTGTGCTGCGTCTACATGCCGATGAGTCAGATATGATTTCAGTTTCCAGTTTGAGACTAATGTAAGAATGTAATTACATTTATAAAAAATGTTAAAGTTTTCTGTTTTCTGGACCCTTTATGCTAAGCTAAGCTAGCCAAGACTTGGACAAATATTCTAACATAGCGGGGGAAACACAAGTTCCAAAATAACTTAACAACAATTAGGCTTTTTTTTGTACCTCCTGTGGTTGAATTCTTACGTGCTGCAGTGAAGTACAGGTGTACTCTGTGACATCACTCAGGTACACTGTGACATCATCACTGACCTGTGAGGTCATGGCTAAAGTCCTCTGAAATGACCTACCGCCTATTTGTGTGTGCTTCTTTCTGCTCACAAACAAAAACGACCACCAACAAAACCTCAAGAGATCACGCTGCAACATCCCATAATAATCATCTTCACCATGGCGACGAGGCAGCAGTTAGAGTGTCCACTTCAAACACCTGCAGAGACACGGAGGACGGTTAGGGAGACGGTTCAGAAAAGTTAGGATGGGGGGGCGACCCAGGTATCATAGTTTGTGGTGGAGGGTCCCCACATGTACAGACAAACGTGTATGTGTGTGTGTGTACCTGGTTTCTCTGTGTGTTATCAGACACTTGCTGCTGCAGTAGCGCCCCCCGCAGGTGGTACAGGTGTAGTGGGAGGGAAACCCACAGACGCAGCAAAAGTGACGAGGGGGAAGAGAGGAGGGAGAGGCCGCCGCAGAAAGGTAGTTAGGCTCCTCCTTCTCTGACAGGTTCTACCAATCAGAGAGCAGAGCAGGAGTCAGCCGACACAACATGAAACTTTAGAACATCAACCTTTAAAAAATAAATAAATATGAAAGATTCTTATGAGCTCGATTAAAGGAGCAATCTGTAACTCTGACCCCTAGTGTTTAAAATGAGTACTGCAGTCTAAATTCTAAACATCATAGAGAGCTGTCTCCCCCCCCCCCCCCCCCGGATGCTCACGCAGGTTGTAGCATATTGACCTGGAGTGAACTCAAATTCACAGGACACAAAAATGTTTACTGATAACAAAAGCCATTCATTTGATAACTGTTTGAAAGAGACTCCGCATTGGAATGTAAGGACAGGACATCTTAAAACCTTTGTGAATAATCCTTTAATGTACGTTGGTGAACCAGACCACTTGGATACGTGTGAACAAATTCAGAATAAACACTCCATAGAGACAGCCGTCTGCCGAGTTGATCAACACGGCAGGGGAGGCCTTTGATGTGATCTGGACTATCTCAAACTGCTTTAGACCTGTTCAAAAATCTGTCCTAACCAACATAATCCATTTCTGATATAAAAGAATGTTGGTTCAATCCCTGAATCGGATATATATATTCATGACATCAAGACTAACATTTTCATGTGAGTTAGATTCTGCTACGATCATCTATGACGGATTTATATATTTAAGGATTAAATCACATTACCTGATGAACTCTCCCTGAATCTTACGTGGAGCACTACTGTCCCCTAGTGGCAAGAGCGCTGTACCGACCTGAGTTTCAGGGGTGAGGTAACGATGATACATTAATTTTGTGATCTTGTCCTAAGTTATAGGAAATAGTATTTTAAGATATGATTTTATACTCTTCATACTATATTAATGTGTTTTTGAATGTTGAATGTTATAATTCTGGTTTCATTCCCAAACAGGCGGAAATCGTCTAACTGTCCTCAGGTTGGACGTAATGTCTATTTCATTGCATATTTGTTTGAAATGTTTAATGTCTGAGATAATTCTACATACAAATATTGACATGGTGATGTTCATATGATCAAAGTTCTTATTTATGCTCTTAATAACTAAGAACTCGGAGTGAATTAAATTAATGAATATGCTTCGGTGGTGGGTTAGATATTAGGCCCCGCCCCCTCGTTAAAGTCATCTTATGGATAAAACAGCTCCCCCCTAAGTTTTCGCTCTTCTTAAGTTTTTTCCTTCCTCTAAGACGTCTCTTGTTAATTCTTATTTCAAACCACTTTGTTTTTTTTAAGTTTTGCCACCGCGAAACTCTTTGAATTTAAGCCCGGACTCGCAGGACCTGCAGACCTCGACTCCAACTTAAATACCCTGATTTTTCATACGCGCATCCTAAGGCTTCTTTCCTACAGCCTAAGACACGCGCCGCTCTTTTTTTCCCCCCTGTTTTAAGTATTGATCATTCGTCTTCCAGAACATTATTTTCACTATTCTCACACTTGACTACAAGTGCCCATTCAAGTGAAGTGAGGATCAACAATCGTTCAATCCTGACAAACGTTAATTAAGGCTCTTTGAGCTGCCAGGAAACGGGACCCGCGGACGACTGTTGGACTGCTGTTTTTTTCTTCACTCCATCTCATTGTCGACTCGGTTATGGCGGTTATCGTGGGCCACCGGCATTCCTGATCCGAAAGAACTCGACGGGGAGCCTGAACTCAGGCCTGAGCTGTGGCTTGAGCTGAGGCTTGGGTTGGTTCACTGGCTGCTGAGAACGAACAGGCTCAGAGGTATAAGACTGTGAAGCAGCCTTGGTCTGCATGTAACCTCTGAGTCCTCTGCCTCCCTCAGCTTCAGCTGCCAATTTTTTTTTATCAATCTCAAACTCTTGACCACGCCTCACGCAGCAGGAAGGGATGCAAATCACAACCATCCTGGTTAATCCTCAGCAAGCAGCAGAGGCAAATCAAACCACCTTCCCAACACTAAACACATCATAAAACATCATAAGTTAGCCCTCTGAAGGCAATTACTACTATGTGTTAGCATCAAGCTGAGTAACTAAAATGTACATCCCAGTCCATATGTGAGAAACTTCACCCCCCCCCCTGTAAAATAAAGCATGAGCTGCCACTGAGTCTATGATGATGCTGAAGTGACATTTACATGATGTATCATGAATGAACTTCCAAACTCCATGTGATCTGCAGAGTCCCTCTGCACCTTTAAGAAAAAGCTAAAGACCCAGCTCTTTCATGAATACCTACTAACTTAATGATGATGGTCTCCATATTATTGATGATGATGATGGTAATGACGATGGTTTCTGTTTGATAACGACGACTTATAAGATGGTTTCTATACTGATTAGAGCTCTCAAGAACTGCCCTCAATGTTGTGCTTTGCCTCTGGTCACTTCCTGTCAGCACCTGTGTGTCCAATCAGACTCAAAGCTGATCGTTTGCTCTTACTCACATTGTTCCCTTTTTTCTAGATCCTTGCTTGTGTTGTTCTTACTCTCTGATGTACGTCGCTTTGGAGAAAAGAGTCTGATAAGTGAAATGTAGAATTGTATCCATTAATGACAAAGACTGAAAAACAAGAGCGACTATGATGGATTTCTCACATTGAACCAGATAATGGACCCCATTACAAAGACACAAGACAAAGTTCAGTTCCTTTAATCGGGCCAGGTGAGTACACAGAAAAGCCAAACACACAGGTGGAGGTATCCAGAGAGAGGCCAAAGGCGAGGTCGCACACAATAAACCGGTCGGATCCAAAGATGGTTACACAAAAGAAAAAACAATAATGCTGACACGGAGGACCTGCAGTGTGTGTGTGTGTGTGTGTGTGTGTGTGTGTGTGTGTGTGTGTGTGTGTGTGTGTGTGTGTGTGTGTGTGTGTGTGTGTGTACTGGTGTGCTCACCTGCAGCAGACCATCAGAATATTTGTGTATATTCAAACAGGAGGAGTGGGGACTGGAACCTTCAGAGAGAGACTCAGAGGTCATTTGGATTGTTTTATTTGTATAAGCTTAATTCAGAGGAAAGTAGTCGTTGGCAGATTTGAATAGTGAAATCCTGTGGGGTGATAAACATCCTAAATGTGCCTCAGGTATTTTACAAAGACGGAGGTGACCTAGACATTGGAAGCATGCTGACTTACACAGCAGTTTACTGTAAGTATGGGAATCAAAATATTAGAACCTCAACTAAGAACTTTACTTACATTTTTCAGAGGTTTGCTTTAACTACAGAGACAAGAAGTCATGTTGATGATTCATGTTTTGTTCTGGTTAATCTGCCCTGCACAATATGTGAATGCAGCTACAAGAGTGATTTAGTTGTAAGTCAGCCTTCACAATGCACCACGTTCAAGACTCTTGCAGCAGAGTCTACTGTACAGCAGGAACAGTTCAGCTTTATGAAATATATTTAGCTTCATGTATAATAATCTATGTGTCACAGTGATAAACTGCCTACTTTTGTGTACGGTGTTTTGTTAATATGAGTCATCTTCTATTTTAAAGTCATTCTCTTCCAGTTATGGCTCCTCCCCGCCTCCCTCGAAGGTAAAGTCCAGCTGATTCATTTATGCTTTTTATTTGTCATTACTTGTGTTTTGCACATTTTTACCTCAGAACTGAACTGTGTGACTCAATGACATGCACTTATTGTGGACAATGACATTGATATTTGATCACGGTTGTTGGTCTCTGTTATTACTGCAAGTACTTCTGATAACGTCCTGACAGTAGTGTTGTAAATAAATTAGCTATAAATTCCCTCAATATATTAAAACTCAGCAGTTCTTAATCTGTCATTTGATCATTTGTTGCTGTTACATCCCTTATTTCCCATGTGATCATTTTTCATGATGACATGGGTTGTTGCCCAGCTCATTCAGCATGGGTTAGGGGTTCAGTGTAAATAGAGCAGACTATAACTAACTGGTATAGTGTAATAACATACATTGTATTGATAATAGAGAGGTGAGTGCAAGTCAACAGCTGTTAAAGTCTTATTGTGTCTGTCACCTCCAAGCTTCCTCATTGCCAAATGTGGCGCTTCTTGGAACAGCGTCTCAGTCATCAACACGCCCTTTCAGTCCAGCTTCAAATGTAATTGATGGGAATAGGAATCCAGAACTGAATGCTGGATCGTGCAGCCATACAAAGTATGGACCGGACCACTGGTGGAGTTTGGTCCTGCCACACATGTACAGCATCACACATATCAACATCACCAACAGAATCTCTAATGCTGGGAGGATCAATGGTGCTCAGATCCTCATTGGAAACTCCCTCCAGAACAACGGCAACAACAACCCAAGGTAAATCCAAAAAGTGTTGTACTTTCTTCTTCATGAGCTATCATATTCTAATACAAGCAACAAGCTACTTTTATTGGATGATGGATTCCCCCTCAAAGTTAATCTGCCTGGTACGTTGAATACTTTCTGAAGTTACCCAGAAATTGCTCAGAATGTTGTTTCATCTGGTTTAGTCTTCAGAAACTGTTCAGAAGTCAGGCCCTAGACATATTTGCTCTTAAAGGGATACTTCACCTATTTGCATTAAGCTTTGTATCATTAGAAACCTGGTGGTATTTTTTAATGGACGTGCATCCCGCCCTCATTTTCCCCTGAGACAGGAAAGATCCGTATCCGTGCAAACAATCATTTTCGAGTCTGATTGGACACACAGGTGCTGACAGGCATTGCACAGATGCAAAGCACAACACTGACGGCAGTTCTTGCGAGCTCTAATCATTATACAAACAAAACCATCGTCATTACCATCATCATCAATAATATCAAAACCCTTGTCATCATCATCATCATTCATCATCAGGGAGTGTAGACCTGGATTATAGTGTTTATAAAGTTATCTGTGGTTGCATAGAGGGACTGGCTGGGATGAGAAGGAGCTCAGTCTTCGAAAGGTCGAGTTGAAGGTGACGTTTATTCATCCATTTAGAGATATCAGCAAGGCATGATGAGATTCTTGCAGAGACTGTAACATCGTCTCAGATGACATCAGCATAGCAGTGGCATGAGAAGCCATGAAAGCGGATTATTGAACCAAGTGAGCTTGTGTATATGGAGAAGAGAAGGGGACCGGGCACAAAGCCCTGAGGTACCCCTGTGGATAAGCTGTGCACTTTGGACACTACCCCCTTCCAACACACTCTGAAAGATCGCCAGGAGAGGTAGGTCACGAACCAGCAGAGGGCAGATCCTGAGATGCCAAGTTCAGAGACAGGTCTGGCAGAAATAGAACTGAGGACTGAGACGGATTGACAAGTTGATCTCAAACTTTACATTTGTGTTTTGAACAAAATAATCGTTAAGCCTAGTGGAAACTTTCTCCACTCTATTTACCAAACTCTTTGTTATTAAAACAAATAATTATTTAATTCCTTTCTCGTTTCCTAGATGCTCGGTCATCACCTCCATCCCAGCTGGCGGTACCAGCACCTTCAACTGTGGAGGCATGATAGGTCGAGTGATCAACGTGAAACACTATTCCACAAATCCAAATGTGTTTTTGACAATGTGTGAGCTGGAAGCTTATGGAGGTTAGTCAAGAGGAAACCGTGCTCAGGCCTGGTTAGTCCTGGAGCAGTGTGAGTGCAGACGAGGGGGGGAATGGGGAGGGGGGGCAATTGTGCTTAGGCATGGTACGGGACAAGTTTACTAGAGTGAGTGCGCCATGAATAACCGTTTCAAAACTAAAACCCAGCTTGAATCAGAAATAAAAGACATTGAATATAAACATGACTGATATTTGATTTGGATGTCTTTGTTGCCACATCTCCAAAACCAGATCTGCTGTTTGTCTCTTTTTCCAGAAAGAGTTCCTCCTTGTCCGTCCTTCAATGCTGTGGTGATGGGCAGACGTGTAGCAGTGGTGGAGAAGAAGCTGTGTTGGTCCGATGCCCTGTTCTACTGCAGAGACTTCTACGGGGACCTTCTCAGCATACGAAGTGAGGACGAGCAGAGGGAGGTGGAGAAGGTGTTGAGCAGCGTCTCCTTCCCTCTCACCAAACATGTTTGGTTGGGCCTGCGCAGGTAACTCAATAAATTCAACAAAAGTCACAGAGATGAAGCATGGGTGTGTGACAAAGTGCCAAACACAGGAGAAGCTGCTGTTCTTCATGTTCCCAATGTTTGTGGACTCGACTTTACAGAATTCAATGATCGTGTCATTTTTTTACCTCTAAATTTAAATCTCTGCATCATTTATAGGTATCTGATGAGTGACCCCTGGTTTTGGATGTCTGGTGCTACAGAGCAGTACTCCCACTGGGAGAAAGTGTCCTTCTGGAAGAATACCAGTCCGTGTGGCGCCATGGACAGCAGCCACGCCTTTCACTGGAGAGATCTTCCATGTGAAGAACATCTTCATTTCATCTGTCTGAGAGGTAAACATCCAGACTTGGACCAAACCAACAAATCAAATACCAGTGTTGGTCCATTTGGCGGAATTGGCAAATGCATTTTCAACTACATGTCCCAGAATTCTTAGTCATTTAAAGGCTTTATATGTGATGTTTTGATCCAGCAGATGTCGCCCTTGAGCACCAGCATGAAACCAAAACAACTGGCGCTGCATTGTTGTGTTAGCATGCTAATGCTAGTGATCTTTATTATGCTGGTATCTTCACACTGCATGTAAATTTACCTGAAATGAGCGTGATCTAGAAACACAGTTAAGCAGTGAGTACAGTATGTTATTCTTCTTTTCTCTAGTCCCTCAATTAAACAACTTTTATACACGAGGGGAGGAGTCAGCCGGCCGTCCGGGCGATGTAAACAAAGTGAAGATAGGACTCTGAAAACTCTGAAAGCATCACAGACAGTGGGACTCGGGTGTTACACCCATTGTAGACAGTCATGACTCACAGAGTTATTTTTAGAGGAGATACTTGATGTCTACATTTAAGTGTGAAAAATCACATATAAAGACTTTAACACTTCATGAACAGATATTTTAAAGGTTTATCTCTTTGAAGTTCACCCGAACAAACTCATGTTGTTTAAATTAAGGAGTCTTTTCATTCATTTTCTATTATGCAACGATTGTCAGTAGCAGTTAGTTAAACAAGAAATCTTATTTGTGCAGCCATGAACGTGTCCAGAGAGGATGGCCGTAGCCCCCCCCCCCCCCCCCCCCCAGTCCAAAACGTCTGGACACGCTGCACAACCAGAAAACATCTTGTGTATTCCACAGTTTCTTCTTCTTTTTCCAAACCTTGTTTCTACATTCACAAAAGTATGTGAGTCATGTTTGTAGCAGCTTACGCAGCCTGCAGATTTACAAACTTGCTGTCATGTCGACCCTGACACAAGTGACAGAGGATTTTTATCAGACGTCACACAGCTCACACTTCAGACCCGGTCTGCTTTCATATAACTTCACTGAAGCTCTAGTCCTCCTAAATACAAGCAAACAGATGTTTAGACTCCAGAAGACTGTGAGTGATAAAGTGATGATGTTTATTAGTGTGAGCAAACTTTAACCAATTACAGGTCATTACTCTGACCTTCCTTTTGTCTTCACAGACGATCAGCAGGACGGGAACAAAGTGGACTTCTACAGCACCTTACACCCCTAAACACAGCATGCAGAGAAGCTCAAGACCCAGTCCAGATACCCCATAACCCTACACCCTGATCACAGAGGACCCCTCTCACCCCCTCCACCCTGATCACAGAGGACCCCTCTCACCCCCTCCACCCTGATCACAGAGGACCCCTCTCACCCCCTACACCCTGATCACAGAGGACCCCTCTCACCCCCTACACCCTGATCACAGAGGACCCCCTCCACCCTGATCACAGAGGACCCCCTCCACCCTGATCACAGAGGACCCCCTCCACCCTGATCACAGAGGACCCCTCTCACCCCCTCCACCCTGATCACAGAGGACCCCTCTCACCCCCTCCACCCTGATCACAGAGGACCCCTCTCACCCCCTCCACCCTGATCACAGAGGACCCCCTCCACCCTACACCCTGATCACAGAGGACCCCTCTCACCCCCTCCACCCTGATCACAGAGGACCCCTCTCACCCCCTCCTCCCTGATCACAGAGGACCCCTCTCACCCCCTACACCCTGATCACAGAGGACCCCTCTCACCCCCTACACCCCTCTCACCCCCTCCTCCCTGATCACAGAGGACCCCTCTCACCCCTACACCCCTCTCACCCCCTCCACCCTGATCACAGAGGACCCCTCTCACCCCTACACCCCTCTCACCCCTCCTCCCTGATCACAGAGGACCCCTCTCACCCCCTACACCCTGATCACAGAGGACCCCTCTCACCCCTCCTCCCTGATCACAGAGGACCCCTCTCACCCCCTACACCCTGATCACAGAGGACCCCTCTCACCCCCTCCACCCTGATCACAGAGGACCCCTCTCACCCCCTCCTCCCTGATCACAGAGGACCCCTCTCACCCCCTACACCCTGATCACAGAGGACCCCTCTCACCCCCTACACCCCTCTCACCCCCTCCTCCCTGATCACAGAGGACCCCTCTCACCCCCTCCTCCCTGATCACAGAGGACCCCTCTCACCCCCTACACCCCTCTCACCCCCTACACCCCTCTCACCCCCTCCACCCTGATCACAGAGGACCCCTCTCACCCCCTACACCCTGATCACAGAGGACCCCTCTCACCCCCTCCTCCCTGATCACAGAGGACCCCTCTCACCCCCTACACCCTGATCACAGAGGACCCCTCTCACCCCCTCCTCCCTGATCACAGAGGACCCCTCTCACCCCCTCCTCCCTGATCACAGAGGACCCCTCTCACCCCCTACACCCTGATCACAGAGGACCCCCTCACCCCCTCCTCCCTGATCACTTCCTGTGTGTTGTTAAATTAAGTTGTGTTTATTGTTTGAGCTTTGTCTGAGGATAATTTCTGCCACTGTTTGGACAGACAATAAAAGTTTATCCATCTATCTATCTATCGTAGCTGTAACTTTAAAATGTATAAAAACAAAATAAATAAATAAAAAAGTTGTCACAATTTATGATACACTATCTGAGTATTTATTTCTGGTGGGGTTTTTGAAAATGATTTGAGTTCCAGGAGCTTAAAAAAAGAGAGAGAGAAATATAAAATTGAATATAGGAAGCCGTTTGAAATATGAATTTTAAAACTGCATGCACACATACGATACTCCCCAGTGACAGCGACGCTGAAGGCTAAAGCTTTAAATAATACTTACTGTTTTGTAACAATCATTGAGACTGAACATCCATTTCTCTGCTTTGGTCTTGAAACTGAAATGAGGAGTGTGCTGCTTGTTGCAGACTGATGGACGGTTGTTTTAAGCCTGTAGCTGCTAACTGAACTGAGAGCTAGCTCACTGAGGCACGAGCAGAGCAGCTTTAGAAGACGACGGGCGTGTGCAGGAACTCTTATCCTACCTGATGAATGATCAACTTTTAATCTTTACAGCTATGTTTTTCTCTTCAACCACTTCTCAAACTTCACGTGGTGACGATGGACTTTTTGCTTCCCTGCACATCGATCTGCACTGTAAAACTTTTGTTGATTTCAGTCGTGCAAAACTGCAAAAATAAAAATAATCAAAGTAGTAATCACAGCTAGAGTGTGTTACATAAAATAAATAAAACATTCACTTATGAATGAATCCAATAATTATGTTGTGTATGACTCTTTGAGTAACTTTTTTTTTGTTGTTCACTCTTTATTTGTTTTTTCCAACGTTAACAAACATAAAGCACAACAAAACATACACAAACACACATCAAAGTAGTGAGGGGCTCCGTCTCAATATCTCCTCTTATTAAGTTTTTTCTGCACAGCAGATATCGCTATCCGTCTTTTTATACTGGTAATCAGTCCACTTTATCCAGCGTTGGCCAACCACTGTGCTGGACTTGGAGGATCACTTTTCAACCAGTTCCTTGTGATGGCCTTTTTACAAGCAAGAATCAGGATTTTAAAAAGGTAGATATCCTTCTTATGGATCAAGTCATTAGGAATCAGGCCCAGATACACAATCCGGGGATCTCTGGGAATCTTATAACATAGAATATCTTCAAAAGACTGAATAACCCTTTCCCAGAATGTTTGCAATTTTACACATAACCAGAAAATATGTGAGTTATTGGAATTCATCTGCCCACACTGTCTCCAACATTGCTGAGGAATACCGAGTTGCTTATTTTTTATTTGGGGTGTGACAAAAAAGCGTATAACATTTTTCCACCCAAATTCCCTCCACCTTCTAGAGCTTGTGGACGACTGTTGTGTTTCACAAATAGAATGCCAGTCACTCTTTGACAAGTTTGTATTCAGTTCTAGTTCCCATTTAGTCTTAACATACCATGTATTGCTTCCATTCTGTTTCTGCAAACTTCTATAAAGTTTAGAAACAATCTTTGATGGAGTGTTTTTGTAAGCACCAATCAGAGTTTCAACCACCTCGCTACCTTCAGCTGAGATTTCTTTTTTTATTTCTGTATCATAGAAATGTCTGAGCTGTAAATACCTAAATAGGTCCCCATTCTCTACCTTAAATTCTTGTTTCAGTTTCTCAAAAGTTTTAAACCTTTTTCTCTCTATGAGTGTACATATAGCTGTTATTCCCTTTTCACTCCACTTAGCAAATGTATTATCCATCACTCCAGGTTTAAATCTAGGGCTCTGAGACGGCCATATCAGAAGTTTACTATCCCCTTCCAGTTTATACTTCTTAACGACTTCAAACCATGTTTTCAGTGTAACTCATCGTATTTTGCCTTCTTCGTTTTGGTTAAGTATGCAGTTCTTGAAATTAATTTCCCTCTCATTATCGCTTTAATGGTATCCCATAGTATAGTTGGATCCACTTGACCATTGTTGTTATCTTTTATACAGTCACTGATTTCTCTCTTAACCGCTTTTAAAACTGTATCATTGTTTAGAATTCCAACATTTAGTCTCCAGAGAGTATGTTTCGATCTGTTATTCATGTTAATAGTAAGGTAGATTGCATTATGATCTGATATGTCTGCTGTTCCTATTGAGCATTCCTTTACCCTGTATCTGTCTATGTTGTTCATTAAGAAGTAGTCTATTCTGGAGTACACGTGGTGAGTAGCTGAGTAATGAGTAAAGTCTTTTTCTTGTGCATGAAGGCTCCTCCAGACATCGTACGTCCCTGCTTCTTTAAGTAACTTATTAAGGTCTTTTGACTTAAGGGATGTCTGTCTAATTTTGCTTGTTGTATCCATAGAGTAATTAAGAACTGTATTCCAGTCTCCAGCACAGACTAAAATGCCTTCACTTTCTGAGATTACTGTGTCAAACATGTTTTTAAGGAATTTCCTGTCGCTCTCAGGTGGAACGTATACATTAACAAGTGTGACCAGAGTGTTGTCTATTCTTCCTTAATGATATATCTGCCTTCTTTATCTCCCTTTTCTTTGATGAGGTCAAAGTTAAGAGAGTTTGAGATGAGTGTAACCACTCCTCTAAACACTAAAGAAAGTGTTAGAGTACCCAAACTTTTTTAATTTATCATTCTCCTGTTTTGAAATGTGGGTCTCTTGTAAAAATATGACTTGCATCTTATCCTTTTTCATTTTTGCTAACACCCTACTCCTCTTAACCGGGTTTCTGAGGCCATTCACATTTAAAGAGACAATTTTCAGGTTATGAGATCCTACTGTGCACATGCCAAGTCTTAACTGGTTTGGTAACCAGTAACAGAAAAAGAACAAAGTTATGAACTAATGAACACATACAACAAGAACAGACCTATCCTCCTCCTCACCTGTGACCCCGTTGGCAGGTCGGGGGAAAAACCTCTCACTGAGAGAGGGCCCAGTCTTAAAGGTGGCCAGAAGAGAGTCAAATGAAATTAACTCAACCATCCTTACAGTCCAACACATCCTGAACAAAACAAAATCGCCTCTCTCAGGCATTTAGTAAACAAAGGATGGCCAACTCAGGGTTTTTTTTTTTTTTTTTGATGATAAAGTCCTCGTTCATACTTGCTCAGCGGATCCCCTCTGAAACTCCTGTAGTCGTTCCCTCGCTCTCTGGGCAGCAGCCGACTCTCTCTCCCGGTGGCCCGCTGCTCGCTGCCACCCCAACAGCTCACGGAGCCGCTCCCCTCCGGCTCCCTCCACGCTCATCGGCTCCTCCACGGGAAAACCTCGCTTCTTTAGATCCCGCAGCACCTCCTTGTGTACGTTCGGGGTCCAGTGTTCCAGTGAATCCGCATGCTCGTGTACGGTGTTTGAAAGCGGATCCTTTTTTCCTTCAGGACTTTCTTTATTCCAATATACTTTCTTTATTCCAATATACTCTTTGCGCTTTTTTACGATCTCAGTCGCATAATCATGATGAAAATATAGAGTTCTGCTACCCAGCTGGATTTTCCCTTTTTTCCAAGCTTCACCTAGAACCGTCTCCTTAGTCGTATACTCCTGAAAGTTGATTATTGTGGGTCTCGGTGGAGCTTCGGGTCGGGGTTTAAAGCCAGGAGAACCGTGAGCCTGTTGTATTTTTAGCTCCAGGTCTTGCGGTAAAGCTCGCTTCTGAGGAGTTTCTCAATGAACTTTGGTACCGAGTTTCCCTCCTCTCCCTCTGCTACTCCAAAAATGCGTATATTGTTCCTCCGGGACCGGGACTCTAGGTCCGTTAGTTTTCGCTGCAGGGCCTTTTGCTGTTTCGTCTCCCACTCATCTATAACCAAACTGTGAAGTTGTTAGGGAGAGTATTCCTCAGTAAGTCTGGGAGAGCGAGTTCACGTGCGTCCAACTACTCCATCAGCTAACCGGAAAACTCTGAAGAACTATTTTAAACCTGATTTTTTCCCCTCAAGGTTTCACTCTGCAGCGCAGTCAGGGGAGAATTTAACCCTTTGTGTGTGTTTTCTATTTTTCTCTCATTTAGATTTAAAAGACGCTCGAGTCCTCGTCTGAATCAGGCCCTCATTTCAAATAGTTTCTAACACAGATTAAAGTCCATCCTTATCTCCTCCCCCCTCTGACACATAAAACAAACACACCCCGCTGTGATGGTACATTTATTTATTAAAATCTCAAAACTTTATTCGCTCAGTCATTGACAAATAATTTAATGCATTTTGTACAAAGCCAGAGACAGTCGACACCTCGTATCGACAGGCACGCATGGAGAGAGAACTACAGGCAGCGTCAGGTGGAAACCTCGTATCGTCACATCTTTTCTTTTTTTTTTTAAATAAGGAGATAAAAACAGAGAGGAGACGACGGCTTCACCCCTGAAAATACACAACTACACGATTAAAAAACACAGAAGAAAAAATGAACTGAATGAATCTCAGACACTAATTAATAACAAATAAAACATGAACAATATAAAAAAGGCCTTTAGTGTTTCCCCAGTAACAGTTTAAAAATATGTCAAAAACTCCATTTACATACTTTAATACACAAAACTTCTCAGCACAGGAAAACGATATTCTTCACTTTGTCTTCTTTCTTGTTCAAACATATTTCTGGACTTTGTCGTTTCTCGTTCTCGCACTGATTTTTAAACATTCTGATCCAAAAATATCAAACTGAAAGCTACCTGTGACGTCCTCCGACTGATCTGATCTAAAACAGCGTTAGACTCCCATCATGCCCAGCTGTATGTTTAGTTTCCATGGTAACCACAGCATCAGAGTATCACCAGGGAGAGAGCTTTTTCATTGTGGGGGATTATTTTTGGTGAAGCATTCAACAACTTAAAACCGCAACAGCATTTAAAAAAAAAAGATTGATGGAGTGTTTCGAAACACGCACGCACGCACGCACGCACGCACGCACGCACGCACGCACGCACGCACGCACGCACGCACGCACGCACGCACGCACGCACGCACGCACGCACGCAGTGAGTTCTGCTTGCATAGATTCAGGTAAGGCAGCACGGTGACAAAATGATTTTTTCTTCCAAAACAGACTCTGTCTTAAATTACTGCACAAAGATAAAATCTAAGGACTCTTATTCTGAAATGTTCAAACAGGAAGTGTCGAGGACTCCTTTCTCTTAGGAGCGTGAGAGTCAGGTGTGACAGCAGGTGAGCTGGAATCGTCCAATCAGAAAGAAGACAAAATAAAAAAAAAAAGCACGTTGGGAAGTGTTCTGAGACGATGCATTCAAGGTCATCACGTTTAATCCTCCGTTCTGTTTGTCTCCAACTGTGAGGAGGAGGTCCACTATGTTCACACACACACACACACACACACACACACACACACACACACACACACACCTGTTGAAGTGGTTGATGTGTCCGGTTGGTTCATGAACAGGAAGGCTCTTTAAAACACACACACACACACAGACATAGCTCTAGGGGTCTACAAAGGACACCATGATATAGCGGGTCCCGCTGGTGGTGGGCAGACCCTCGTGGTAGTGCGTCAGGCGACCCGGGTGCATGAAGGACCAGCCCTTCCTGGGAGACTCCACCTGACAGTCGTATCGCAGGAACCTGCAGCCTCCACCCTGCATGACAACAATAAAGAAACTTCTATTAAAACCACAGATTCATTCAGCTACAAGTCACCAGATAGCACGGTCACTCTTTACATCATAACACCGGATACTGCAACCACAGATTCATTCAGCTACAAGTCACCAGATAGCACGGTCACTCTTTACATCATAACACCGGTTACTGCTCACGCTAACTTCGGTATATCCAAGTGTCCTACTTTTTAACTTTATTAACGGTTAACAAAGTTACATTTCAGATTAATAGTGACCTCTTCAGGACATACTCTACTCATACTGTGTGTGTGTGTGTGTGTGTGTGTGTGTGTGTGTGTGTGTGTGTGTGTGTGTGTGTGTGTGTGTACCTCGTAGTCCTTGCCCTTGCTGTTCAGGGCGACGTTGATGGTGAAGGTGGAGGAGTCGTGATGCGGCCTCAGAGACGGCTGCTCGTCAGGACGATAACGCACCACGAAGTTCATGATGGCCTGAGCCTGAACACACACACACACACACACACACACACACACAGACACACAGACACACACACACACACACACACACACACACACACACACACAGACACACAGACACACACACACACACACACACACACACACACACACAGACACACAGACACACACACAGACACACACACACACACACACACACACAGACACACAGACACACACACACACACACAGACACACACACACACACACACACACACACACACACACACACACACACACACACACACACACACACACACACACACACACACACAGTGTCAGTATCCATTAAAAGTCTCCTAAAAACAAACAGCGGGAATCTTTACACATAACGTCTGAGCTAATGTTAGCTTTTCCTGACACATCCCCGAGCTCCAGCGTCTGAAGCTTTAGGCTGAGCGAGGAGGAGGCGGGGTTATATCTGGAGGTCAGCGTGGTTAGCGTCCGTACCTTAGGGTAATATCCTGGATAGAGTTTCTCTGTCACCGGGGCGATGTACTCTTTTAAGAACTTCAACCACTCCTTCTCAAAGCCGATCTGGTTCATGTGGATATCCACCGTGGGGACGTTTTCATAACCGCCGGCCAGACGCTCGTCCTGAACACACACACACACACACACACACACACACACACACACACACGTGAAAAACACACTTTCTCTTCTTGAATCTAAACTTGAATCAAACGGTCGACGGGTCACCTTGTGTTTTCCTCCTGACCACTCTCCATTGTCCTCCATGGTCTCCACCAGATGATCACACATCTTCTCTGAGAAGGCTGGAAACCAGTAAACATCTGGACACGGCTGAGACACACACACACACACACACACACACAAAGATCATACAATGCTGATGCCTGTTTGTTACCACGGCAACAAACAAAACTAAAAGTCCTAGGGAGCAGTTAAGTGTCGTTCCTTGTTTTTAAAATGCGGTACATGAAGGCAAACTCCTGCACAAACACGTTGGCTACGTTCAGAACCTTTAATGTGCTTTAAAGCTACTTTCTGATCGTGTTTGAAACTCAGACCTTCACTCCTTCGTTTGTGTATCTACCTGCTCCACAAAGACTTTCTGCTCCTCAAAGATCCTCGAGTAGTTCTCGTGGATGTACTTCTCCTTCCAGTCCTGTAAAACAAACAAGCACACAGTGAGCGTTCCCTCCGTCTGTTAATGTCGCTGTGTTTGGTTGATGTCTTCTGTTTGTCTGACCACGGGGTTGTCGAAGATCTGCCACATGTCCGGGTGCAGCCTGGACATGTTGAAGTTGGTTGACGCCACCAGACGGCCGAACTCGTCGCGGTTTGACACGAACATGAAGACTCCCTGAGGAGGAGGGTGGTGGGTTAGTTTGAGAAGAGGCTCAGACAGACAGCTGGTACTGTGTGAGGCCAGCAGGTGTGTGTTACCTGGTCTCTGATGCTCCTGCAGAACACCATGTCGGGGTCCATCCCCTCGGCCACGTACAGGCTCACCTTGGACAGTTTGGAGCGCAGCACGCTGGCCTTGATCAGGTACGCCTGAGTGATGTACGGCACGTTCCACAGACCACTACACACACACACACACACACACACACACACACACACACACACACACACAAACAGAGACAGACACACACACACACACACACACACACACACACACAGAGACAGACACACACACACACACACACACACACACACACACACACACACACACACACACAGAGACACACAGAGACACACACACACACAGACACACAGACACACAGACACACACACACACACACACACACACACACACACACACACACACACACACACAGAGACAGACACACACACACACACACACACACACACACACAGAGACACACAGAGACACACACACAGACACACACACACACACACACACACACAGACACAGACACAGACACAGACACACACACACACACACACACACACACACACACACACACACACACACACACACACACACACACACAGACACACACACACACACAGACACACACACAACATTAGCATGCTAACACAACAATGTGAAGCTACGAGCTAACTAAAGAGCGCTAACATTAGCATGCTAACACAACAATGCAGGGCACAGCTACCGTGAAGCTATGAGCTAACTAAAGCGCTAACATTAGCATGTATGTGTGTGTTTACACTCACATCCTCTTGCCCTGGACGATCTCAATGTAGTCCTCAGACCTGGAGTAGAATCCTTCAGGACTCAGAGCGCCCCAGAAGTTACTCCACAGCTTCCCGTGTTTGGACAACATCGGAGCAATGACTGACCTGAAGACAAACAGAACATGTAAAAACTAGTTTGTTGTGTTGGAGTATAGCGTATATGAAAAGGTACTAGTGCATACTTGTGGAGATGTAGGGTACACAGAAGGGTACTAGTGTGTACTTGTGGAGATGTAGGGTACACAGAAGGGTACTAGTGTGTACTTGTGGAGATATAGGGTACACAGAAGGGTACTAGTGTGTACTTGTGGAGATGTAGGGTACACAGAAGGGTACTAGTGTGTACTTGTGGAGATGTAGGGAACACAGAAGGGTACTAGTGTGTACTTGTGGAGATGTAGGGTACACAGAAGGGTACTGGTGTGTACTTGTGGAGATGTAGGGTACACAGAAGGGTACTAGTGTGTACTTGTTGGGATACAGGGTACACAGAAGGGTACTAGTGTGTATTTTTTGGGATATAGGGTACACAGAAGGGTACTAGAGTACTTGTGGAGATGTAGGGTACACAGAAGGGTACTAGTGTGTACTTGTTGGGATATAGGGTACACAGAGGGGTACTAGTGTGTACTTGTTGGAATATAGGGTACACAGAAGGGTACTAGTGTGTATTTGTTGGGATATAGGGTACACAGAAGGGTACTAGTGTGTACTTGTTGGGATATAGGGTACACAGAAGGGTACTAGTGTGTACTTGTTGGGATATAGGGTACACAGAAGGGTACTAGTGTGTACTTGTGGAGATGTAGGGTACACAGAAGGGTACTAGCGTGTACTTGTGGAGATGTAGGGTACACAGAAGGGTACTGGTGTGTACTTGTTGGGATATAGGGTACACAGAAGGGTACTAGTGTGTACTTGTGGAGATGTAGGGTACACAGAAGGGTACTAGTGTGTACTTGTTGCTGGATACTTGTTGGACTGTTGACTTGAAGGATGTACTTTCTGGTGTATACAAAGCATCCTTACTTGTTTTCCTCGATGAGTATCCTCAGGGTGTCTGGATTTGTTAGGGCCACATCAGAGTCGATGCTGAAGTAGTAAGCACACTCTGGATCCTTCTTACACGCCTCCCTGCACACAAACACATGAACATCTTAGATCCTGTATCTTCTCAAAGGTTTACTTCTTTAACACATCAAATGAGACTCAATATGAGAACCACCACCACTGTAGACCCCCAAAAATAAGAGTGGGGAACGATACACAGGAAAGGAACCACAGACCCGACTCAAACCAGGACAGCCCGTCTAGAGGACCAAATCCTCAGTACATGAAGACCCACACTAACCACCAGAAGGCCACCAGCGCCCCCAGAGATCTGAGAGGTTTTGCATCAGCTTTGCTCTGCATCGTGTCAGACATGAAAACAGAAGATTCTTCCCATCTGAACGACTTGAGAATAAAATGGGGCGTAGGGTGGCCTAGTGGTTAGCTTATGCGCCCGATTCACAGAGGCTATATGTTGTGGGTTCGACCTCTGTCCATCCCACACTCTCTCTCCTCCCAACATTTCCTCTCTCTCTTAAGCTGTCCTCTCCAATAAAGAAAATGGCCCAAAAATAAAAGAAAATACAGTTTAAAAGAAACTAGCTGCTTCTTATTTTTGTGTAAATCTGCAATTCATTCAATCTGTTTAAAGTCTTTCTATGTGATTTTTCACACTTAAATGTAGAAATCAAGTTTATCCTCTGAAAATAACTCTGTGAGTCATGACTGTCTACAATGGGTGTAACACCCGAGTCCCACTGTCTGTGATGTTTTCAGAGTTTTCAGAGTCCTATCTTCACTTTGTTTACATCGCCAGGACGGCCGGCTGACTCCTCCCCTCGTGTATAAAAGTTGTTTAATTGAGGGACTAGAGAACAGAAGAATAACATACTGTACTCACTGCTTAACTGTGTTTCTAGATCACGCTCATTTCAGGTCAATTTACATGCAGTGTGAAGATACCAGCATAATAAAGATCGCTAGCATTAGCATGCTAACACAACAATGCAGCGCCAGTTGTTTTGGTTTCATGCTGGTGCTCAAGGGTGACATCTGCTGGATCAAAAAATCACATAAAGCCTTTAAAGTGTTTGAACCCTGAAGAAGATCTCTGATGTAGGATCACTCTTAGATCAGATCAAAAATCGTTATCATCTGGACGAGCCGCAGACGTCCTGAAGAGTCCATATGAACATGTTCTCTTGAGTTCCACTCACACAGCCATGGCTCTGGCCTTGTTCTCCTGCAGGTCCTCCTCTGGTCCCACCAGCGTGGCGTCCGGAAACAGAGCTTTGTGGCGCTCCCAGAACCTGTGGATGTGACGCTCGTGGTACACCACCTGAAACACACACACACACACACATACACAGTGACACACACGAGAGCAGCACATGGGGATAAACGTCACGAGGCGTTCCCTTCAGCTCGTACGTTGTTGTGAATGAAAAGGCGGATCTTGGTCATCGGGTAGTTGAGCGTGGTCAGGCGGTCCAGGAACTCCTCCATGAAGGGCGTGGCGTGTTCGATAAACACAG